AGGAAAATACGTAGCTAATTTTGTGTCGACATTGCTTAAGAAGCTAGAGGAACTTGTCTTCTAAACCAAGCAAAAGCTGTTTATTTTCTTTGAGCTAGTAGACTGTAGTTATCTTTGTTTTTCTGCTTCGTTGGCTAGTTTGAGTGAAGGAAGTGTCTCATGGCCAATTCTCTCTGGAGAACATGATTTTTGGCCCATGATAGCCCAAATTCTTTTAGTTGGTTGGTTGTGAGAGACCTTGTTCTTCTAGGTACAAAACTGAAGCAGGCAATCCATGCTGAATTGTAAACTTTATGTTTTGTTATCTACCTATGTAGAAGTAGATGCATTGTACTTATGTCAGATTTGAAGAAGAAATCTGCCAATAGTCGGTAGTCTTTCCCATCCATCATGAATTCTCCATTGCCCAAAGGACTTGTTACTTGCCCTTTCCAGATATTCTCGCCCCTCAGGTGACATGGAGGAAGGCAACATGCTGCCATACCTGGAAGACTGTAGTCCATTGGCCCTTGATGACCCTGATTCTGTAGCTTTGGAACCTTCTGTTCTTGCTAAGATGGTGCTCAGGTCTAGGTGCATGGTTACGCATGATTGGTTGATACTATCATCAATAATATTGTTGCACGGTGGGATATCGAGTTTGTGTTTCTTTAAAATTGTTCGTCTGAGTAACTATTTAGTGGACATTTAGATGACAGCAATGGATATGAATTCTGTTTCATGGTACTTTTTCTGAGTGAAGCCAACCATGCAGGTTGAGAAGCTGAGGAAGCTTCCAGATGCTAAACCGATAGAAATAGCCTTCACTGGGATGATAATGTCCGCAATGGAAGGTGGGCATATTAATGATTGCCTGTCCATTTTTAATCAGATGAGAGGTCTTTGTGCTCCTAATATAGGGACCATAAACATCATGCTAAAGGTTTTTGGCAAAAATGATATGTTTTCTAACGCCAAAGAATTGTTCGAGGAAGTTAGAGGAACCAGATCTATTTCCACTATGTGCCAGGATGGTGGCAATTCATTGGTTCCGGATGAGTACACATTTGGCTCGATGCTCGAGGCATCTGCTAGTGCCCTTCAGTGGGAATATTTTGAATTTGTTTACAAGGAAATGTCACTCTCTGGGTATCAACTAGACCAAAACAAGCACGCTTCACTGCTTGTGGCAGCATCCAGAGCTGGAAAGGTATCCTTCTCAATCTATTTCTTTTTGGGAAAATCAACTGATTAAGAAAGTTTACCCCGACACACTTAGTTGAAGCGGTTAATTCATTTTTGAAAGATGTAGACGCTTGAGAATTATCCTTCAAGTTTGTAAGTTCAAAATTCAGAATGGTAGTCTTTCCTGGCTTTTGACTTTGTCCAATTTCATGGAGAAGGATACGCTGTTTGCTGAACTTTTTTATGAGGTACATGGTGGACTGGATCTGTTTCATTGATTTCTTAAGTTGACTACACCATGGTCGTTCTTATCTCCACATATATGTGATACGCGATGGCCCAGGGAAATTTTAGTTGACAATTTCTTCAAAAAGTTGCTGAAGTGTTCACGCAAAGAGGATGCTTGAATTTTGTAGATTTTCTTTTGTGTTATTGTAGTTACTAAAACTTGGACTCTCCTCTATAATTCATGGTTTCTTTCCGCTATTCTTCAGAAACTACAATACGATAACTGAATAGATTCAGAGTATTGGTTCTCTGACTATGCATGGAGTTCTTTTATTTCCACTCCTATTCTTTCTTCTTGAAATCTGTGTTACTGGAAAATAATAAATGCTGTTATTACTATAGGGCCATCTACTTGAACATGCGTTTGATGCAATTCTAGAAAGCGGCGAAGTGCCTCACCCATCAATCTTTGTTGAGATGGCTTTCCAAGCTGCAATTCAACATCAGTATGAAAGAGCAGTCACCATCATCTCCGCTATGACTCATGCATCCTTTCAGCTTAGTGAAAAGCAATGGATGGACCATTTTGTGGAAAATGCAGACAGGATTGGAAAAAATTGTTTGCAGGACCTTCTGAGTGCTCTCCAAGAAAGCGATGTAATGACAGAAGGCACTTTTGCAAACTTATTGAGATCACTGCACTCTCTTTGTGAATCTGCATCTGCGGAATCGAGAGAAATCTCGGATTTGGGCGCTTCTCTGCTGGGACTGCGAACTGAGTATCTTTCAGGAGGTCACGAGGAACTGAAAACTGAACAGACAAATCAACTGAAGCTTTCTGCAAATGTCGCCTTTCCTATGCTTAACTCTATTAACGGAACCAGCAGCAACATGGAAGGAGACAAGCCTCAGGGAGAGACTGCGCGCAGGTCTTGGAATTCCGCATGTCGCGAAGAGGGAAGAAATGACCTTGACAGCGACGTTTTAGCAAATGACACGGCAAGCAGCGAACCCTTGGACAGTGTTCTTTCGAGCTTTAACTTGGATGGGAGCTTAAAAGAGTTTGACGAAGACGACCCCGACATGCCACCCGAAGGAACCGAGGACTCCGAACCAAACTTGCCGACGGCGCGTGAGATTCTGGAAATGTGGAAGCTAAGCAGACAAAAAGATGGTATATACTTCCCTTTCCAACTTGGCAAAAAACAAGCGCATGTTGATTCAAGCCTCGGTGATTGCCAAAGTGCAGATACGTGATGTTTGATTACCGTAGCGTAGCGGCAGAAGTACGCGTAGTTCCTTGTACATCACACCGTATAAGAACGGCGTATTCTCATCTATGCTCGACCCACTCCCGAGTTGTTCTTCGATATTTCGTCAGCTTGTCAACTTATGTTCATATGCTGATGTTCTGAGTGCATTGCCCGTGATTAATGAATGATTCTCAGGAGGAAAAGTAGGGGTGTTTTGTTCTTTGTTCTGCGCTCGGTGTATAGAGAATCCGTTATACCAATGTCAGGTCAGTTGTGTTACATGCCATGTCTATAAATTAACGATGTTTTGCTCTTTGCGTCTTTTTCTCTCTTCTTTTGCACTTTTTACTAAATTAATGATGCGTTTGTTTCACTCGGAAATGAATGATTTGAAAAATACTTTCTTTAAAATAATTGCTTATATTATTTGAAATAATCAGTCAATGAAAATGTTTCGTTATCGATCAATTTATGTTTAAATATTTTTGTAGATAATAAAAATATTATTTTGTCCGTTATTTTTTAAGCAATATAATCATTTTTTAGAAAAATATTTTTTAAATTTATTATTTTTCGCGAAACAAATGAAATGAAGTTATTTTATGAGACAAAGCGAGATAAGTCATCCACGCTGATTTGTAAGTTATTAATGTCTTATGACCTCACAATTCTAGAAGCACTGTGTCACGATCAAGAGGTTTTCTAACACCAAGGACCGTGACACATCGACGAAGACCCGTCCAAAACCCAATGGAGCTTTCGGAATTTTCCCAAGGATGGGCGAGACGGTAATTATGTCGGGGTTCTAGAGAGTTCTCGGCATAAATGCCGGTAGTTGATAAGGTCGACGAGAACGATACGATCTCGGCCACTCGTATAGAAATCGATCAATGGTTGTAATCCGAGGCCCTCTACTGTATAAAGGGTGTCCTCCTCCTTATTTGAATTATCCAAACAACAAGAAGCATTTCCTTTCTCTCCCAGAGCTTCTCTCTCTAGGTTCTCTCTCTACGATCCGAGTGTCCGAGGAAGCCTAAGTCGCCGCACGGGTCGTTCCCAAACTATCGGCTCGTGACAAGCATCTCGTTATCTTTTTCTCTAATTATCCTATCTTCACCACATTTCAAGGTAATTATCAGGCTAATCCAAATTTTAAAAAAATCAAGAAAATAACAACGAAGAAAAAGATAAGAAGAAAGAGGGTAAGCCTCAGGAAAAACAAAAGCGAGAATGACTTAAATGGTTTCTAAACTTTGATTAAATGTGTTATGTAATTTTTGAACTTTTAATTTGTCTAATATAGTTTATAAACTTTTGCCCAGTGTGCAATGTAGTTTCTGAACTTTTAATTTATTTAATATGCTCATTAACTTTTGATACATATTTAATATAGTCTTTGGACTATATGAAAATATTCATTGTAATTCCTAATCTCGAATTAATGGAAAGATGTATACCGAACATTTTCTTATAGTTCGGGGACTACATTGAATTTATATTAAAAGTTTAGGGACCAGATTAAATAAAGGGAAAAAACCACCAAAAACCCCAAACTTTGCCATCTGTGACACATTTACCCAAAACTTTTTTTTGTGACACCAAAAACCTCGAACTTTGCTTTTTGTGACACATTTACCCCAATGTATTTAGTCCATGGGCATTTTCGTCTTTTTTGCTTTTTCTTTTTTTTTTTCTTTTTTTTTCCTTTCCGGCGAGGGGGGGCCTCGCCGGCGTCGGGCGAGGGCTGCCCATCTCCGGATTCGGCCAGGGGGGCCCTCGCCGGCCGAGCGAGGGCGGCCTCGCGATCCGCGAGGCGGCCTCGCCGCGTCGGCGAGGTTCGCCCTCGCGGGCGAGCGAGGCGGCCCTCGCCCAACACAGTGAGGTCGACCCTCGCGGCGTCGGCGAGGGTTGACCTCGCCCGAGCGGCGAGGGCGCCCTCGCTCGCCCAGCGAGGGCGACCCCGCCGCCCTCGCCGGATCTGGCGAGGGCCGCCCTCGCTGACGGCGAGGCCCCCTCGCGGGATCCGCGATGGGCACCCTGCTGGATCCGGCGAGGCCCCCTCACGGAAGGAAAAAAAGAATAAAAAAGAAAAAGCAAAAAGACGAAAATGCCCATGACTAAATATATTGGGTAATGTGTCACAAAAAGAAAGTCATGCGTTTTAGTCACACAAAAATAGAAATGCCATGCATTTGAGAAAGGGCTTTTGGTGATTTTTTCCCTTAAATAAATGAAAAGTTCAAGAATTATACTACATATTGAACAAAATTTTAAATATCATATTAAAAAAATTAAAAATTCAGGAATCGCGTGATGAGCCAAAGTTTGTGGACCAAACAAAATACCCCAACGGGAGAGAAGAATTCGCGTTGACGAACAATGTTCGAATCAAGAACCCTAAAACCCTAACCCCATCATCACATCATCTCCCAAACCCAATCCCCGCATTGAATTTCTCCAAGAAACCTCGAACCCAGAAGAATGCCCGCGAGGATGATCCACCCCAGATCGCTCCTCAACCTCCTCGCGGCCTCCCGAAGCCCCGCCCGCCCCCGCTCCTTCTGCACCCACCAGGCGGCGGCGCCGCCGTCCGCCGGGACCCAGAAGCTGGAGCGTATTGCCGACGAGCTCCTCAGCCTCACCAAGCTCGAGAGATATGACTACTCCATCCTCTTCCGATTGAAAATGGGTATCGACAAGTACGGCCCCGCGGTGTCCGGTGTCGGGTCGGGAGGGACCGCGCCGGGCTCGAAGAATGCGGACGCGGGCGCCGGCGCTGCGGCGGAGGCGGCGGAGAAGACGGTGTTCGACATTAAGTTGGAGAAGTTCGACCCCGCGGCGAAGATAAAGGTAATCAAGGAGGTGAGGGGGTTCACGGATTTGGGGCTGAAGGAGGCCAAGGACTTGGTGGAGAAGGCGCCGGCGGTCTTGAAGAAAGGGGTCACGAAGGAGGAGGCGGCTCCGATCTTGGAGAAGCTCAAGGAATTGGGTGCTACTGTGGTATTGGAATGAATTTGGTTCCTTTTTCACATTTCACTGTTTATTTTTCTGGTCGAGTTGATGTTGTAATTTGGAATAACATTGAGCTGAGCAGTGGCAAATGCATCGAATTTTTGATGATACGTGTGAAATTTGTCCATTTCGGGAATTGTTTCGATTGTTGTTCCTTGAAGGTCTTGTGCTGCAAAAATGTTTGAGAAGTGTTTGGTGAAGTTGCACATTGCCTCATCAAAGACGCGATGGACTGTCCACTCTCCATTTCCTGGTGGAGTTATTACTGGCAATGAACATTGCTTTTCCATTAACGATTATCAGGTTGAGCTAATTAAACGAGCGAAACAGATCCTTGTGATAGTAGGTTTTCCTGCTGATTGGTGTATTTTGTTGGAAAAGTCGCAATTCTAGATAGTGGAGCTTCTGGAAGATAAGAGGTACTTCCTGCTGTCTATCCTTTCTCTCACTTTATTATCTCAAGGCTGTTTGGATGACATCTTCTGGGATTGATGGATCCTCCTTAGTTTCTCGCTTCATTGTTGCCAATATCGTTCGATTGTGGTCGGACTAATATATAGTGTTTCCGAACGGCAATCCATATATATTACTAAAAACTTGAAATCATAAGGGGGTCCAGCAGCAGCGAGCTGTATCTTTGCATATCAGCTGACATGAGTGCGAATCAGAGATTGTAATAAAAAACTCAGTGTTTGCTTTTTACTGTTTATGGTACTTTCACGCCCGTTTTTGCTTCGTCAATTATTATTTTTAGATGTTATAATAATGCATTTGAAGTATTCATAATTTGGTCATTGGTAGTCAGTCGTATCTGAGTTCACCTATCGATATGCATAGCTGCTGCTGGTGAGCTTCTTATTCAATCTTAGCTATGCACTAGTTTATATCATGCTATGCGTTGTAATAAATATCTTGTTGATTTCTCAGGATTGAGAAAATGGAGTATTGCCAGGAAGATATGCAATCACTCTCAGGACAGGTATTGAGTTTGAATTGGAGGTTGGCCTTTGCCTTAGAGAATGACTGGATTAAACATGACGTACACCGATCACGAGTATAAACATGACTGTTTATACCTTGTGTCTGGCTGTAGTCTTTCTTTCGGTAAATATAAGAACTCCATTCATGTGAAAGAAAGATTTATGGGTAGCATGAGAAGAAACCAGTCAAAGATTATGAGCCCAATCATGGGCTAGGCGGCTAGCTGGAGAAACAGTTCTCGGCAATGTTTACAATCGTGCCCAGGTATTGAAGTGTTTCCATAGGTATCTAATTATATTTGATACAACAGTTGATACATACGCTTGTGAGACGCGACATGCTCAATTGCTTCCTGCTTGTAAAATCTAAAACGAAGCCGATACAAGTTGGCTTTCAAGCTGTGATACCATCGTGCTTAAGCAAGTTCAGAGCTGCCCAAGTAATATTTGGTGTTGCTTCTGCTCGCAGCAGAGAGGTCTAAGGAACCAAGTATTGTTCCTCATTGTCACGTTCAATCATCTAAGTTGGCATTAAACACCCGTTACTATCCATATCGAATTAGAAGCTTTAGAAGCCAGATGTAGGCAATCTGGAGTCATACAATAAGTCCACAAGCTCCTGACGTAGGGATCATACCGGTTTCGATGAGCGAAAGAGTACTCCTCTTACACGAGATCTTTGCCATCTTGGTGGACGGTTTTGACTATGTCGATCGATATTTGTGACATTCTTAGCGCCCCGTGGTTCCCGAACTACAGCAAAAGAAATCAGTAAGTGCAAACTAGCGCAATTTTTTCCAGTCCGGGCTTGGACGGTGCGATCTGCAGGGCTTAAGAAAAAAACTAGAACAATATTAGAATCTCAACCGGGAATGGGTTCACAACGGCGGGGGATCTAAACAAGCTTTAAAATCGAAGGTGTCTACTTTCTGTTTTCTTTAATAAACAAAGTTATTTTTGTAGTAAAAAAAAATTAATGGATCAAAGGCCCCCACAAGTTAGGATGGGATTGTATTTGGTTCCTGTCTGAATAGGATAAGGACGGATATAAGAGGGGTATAATCCGCATAGAAATATCTCATATGGGAGGTGAGATAAATGTGAATATGATATCTTATATAAATGGTATAAAAGCTAAATGATCATTTGGTTATGCCATTTGGGGCTTTTCACTCACCAAAGCAATTGCATTATGGCCTTCTCAATCCTTCTAAACCACAGCTGAGGAACGGCGATCCAACAACCGTGTTGCAGTAGCGGGTATTCGCTCCATATGTATCAAACTTCTTAAATCAATAAGATTGATTAGACCAAATACAATTAATAGGTTTAAAAGAATAATTGAAAATATTTAAATTATAATATTAAAAATAAACTCAAAAATTATTCAGTTCTACTTTTATTAACATATCTGAATTTCTTTCTATTCTATAGTACATATTCTATTCAATTTTTATCAAGGAATGGTGGAAGGGAATAAAAACATAAATTAAAAAAGAGAGGGAAAATAATAAAAAGAATAAGTAAATAAAAATGAAGTAGAACATCCCAGGTTTCAAATGAACATATTTAATCTTGAAAAAAGAACTTTCTAATCCTTGAAAATGAGAGGCGAGGAGATTTCTAGGAAAACCCTACCTTGTCTTCTTTCTCCTTCGTAGCTTTGTTCATGTTAAAACTTTATGACTCGATTGTAGCCTTTTAGTTTTTTTTTTTTTGGTAAGGGTAAGGTATATATTACTTTCAAATCACCAAATACAAAGGAAAGCAAGAGACTAACCAAGTTCCAAAGGGACTATACAAATCCAAGGGAACACGGAAAGCTCAACCACAAAAAGATAAAGGAAGCAAGGAAAAGCTATACAAAGGAAGGCCAAACCAGCCCAATTAAGAAAAATGGAAGGTGATAGCCCCCAACTCCTTTGTAATCTCCTATTCAATGGCGTGTCTGCAATTCTTCCAAGGGTTGAAGCTTTATCCTTCACCACTTTGATCATATGATTGCGCATACCAGGGATGAAAATACTCTTGTTTCGGAAGATAGAGTTGTTTCTTTCCCATATTATATGACAAAGGGCTCCAAGTGAGAACCTGGAGAGACGATGAGCAAATGATGATCCTCCACAAACCTTCATTGCCCATGTTATATGCTCATGCCACGGCCGGTTACGCCATGGAAGATAGCATTTAGTTGCCCAAAAAAAGGCCAAACTTCTTGTAGAGGAGCACTGAAAGAAGAGGTGGTTGATTGAGTCCGGAGTAGTACCACAAAACGCGCACAAAGCGGAATCAATCCTGTAGCAGTCTGAGTAGGCAACCGCCCAAGGGAAACTATCCATAGAAGAAAGGAGTGGCGTGGAGCAATATGATGATCCCATATAAAGGAATGCCACCGAACGGGAGTCTTTTTCTTCTTATATGGTTCCAAGCTATCGCCACCGAGAAGGTAGAGGATGGTTGAGGAGCCCGAGATCAGCTCATCTTCAATGTCTTCCTCAAAAATAGGTGGAGGTTCCGTCCAGGTCAATATAGTATCCAAAGTATGTGAATGTTGCCATACCGAGTCATAAAAGGCCCGAATAAACGTGTCCCGGGGATACGAGACGATAAATGTCCATATCACTCGAACGGAAGGTATAGGGGCCTTTGTCATGCCACCAATCAAACCACCATGAGACCGAACGACCATTACCAATTTTCCATCGAAAAATAGTCCGAGCAGAGTCTCGCATATCAAGGATTTTCTTCCATGTCCAGGAACAAAAAGTGGGCTTAGAACCTTTTAGTTTGTTGTTGAAACTCTAAAAAAATGGCTAGATAGTCGAATCTCCTACCCTCCGTAGCTCTCTAGTTTACGTCGAAGGTTCACGAGAGCAGCAAGAGAGTCCAAGCTCCTTTTCCTTAGCTTTCTAGTTCACGTAAAAACTTCACTAAAACGGCGAGAGAGTCAAAACACTATAATTTTCGAAATCACAAGTGTCAATGGTTATGCTTTCTCTCTCTTATTAAATTCGGCATTCACTGGCTAATCTTTCTTGTTGATACTGCTTTAACCTATTTACATTTCTTGTTATAGTTGAATGTATCGCTTTGAAATGTGTAATGAGTTTCTTTGTCGTTTAAGGTCTAGATCTTATAATAATCATGAATTGGTTGCAAGAGGTTGTCTCCGTTTGTGTATTTGTAGTTTCTTTAACGATGAATCGCAAGAGATTCTTACCATCTCCGTGCATCATCGAGTCCATTTACATCGATATGTACTTCCTACCAAACAATGAAAATATTTGATTAAAACTACAAATCACCAAACAATGGATAAGATATAACAAAATCTCCGAATTTCATATCCTATGTTATCCAGTCCTATTCTGGCTAGAAATTTAGAAGACCAAACACAGCCAGAAAAGCATGCCATCAGTACTAGAATAAGACGATTTGTGATACAAATACTAGAGTTATAGAAGTCGGAGAAATTCCCGACCTTCCTCAAGAGTAAATTCATTGAGAGAGAAAAAAAATTAATTTAGATCAAGCAGTTGCGACTTAAAATCCCAAACTTTTTCCTGACCATCTTCACAACTTTAATAGTTCCTTTAAGGTTCTCATTTTCAAGTAAACCTTAAGAAATTAATTAAGTTTACTAAAAGTGAAAATAACCTTTAAAATGGAGGAACTACACAAATTTTTAAAAAGTCATTCACTTCAAATAAGACTTAACAAGTGTCCAAGAGGCACCCTTTGACATCTTCCTTCTTTTAATAGGCACTGCCGAATAATTATCCCCATTTCCAGAAGGCATTTATGGTACTTTGTAAAAAGCAGTAATATCATTTAGTTGTGCTTTTTCTTAAACATGCCTAGTATTTCAATGTATAGAGGAAATAGTTCTCTCTATTTTGAAGCTTTATGTTTCGTGTCTTTGAGACACTACTTAACAAGATCCAGGTACAGACTAACATGTAGAAAATGTGCGGCTAGAATCTGTTGCATATATGAGCCACAAAAGTCCTTGCCATTGTGTTCTCCGACAGTGGTCTCAAAGATCTATACAAAATCTATACTTTCATTCTCTCCATTGTTCAGAAACAAAGACAATGTTACCTTAGCATATAATTGGCACCTCAATTCCC